CCAATCGCGACTACACGAACTGGAACGAAGTGTGGTTGCCTCCGATGGGCTTCTACTGCAGAGGCAGCCTTCAGTCTCATGACGCGGCGGTCAAGGCAGCAGCCCATTTCGCGGGAGTGCACTGTGACCGCACCATACGCATAGGTGGATCTGCAAGACTCCGCCAACCTCATTGCACTATACCCCGAGGCGGCACGTACGCCGACATTGCTGCTTCCCACTACTATGATTGCATTCATGCCAAAGATGGCAGGTGGAAACTCCGCTCATCGATTGCGGTTCCCAGCTACGTGGGAATGTTCTGGTGAATGACTTCGGCAATGCAGTCCGGCACCTCCTTTTGCACTGGCCCTCCGTGGTTTGTGTCCAGGTTTTCATGGTATCCATCATGACGCTCCTCTTCCGAAAAAAGCGTGTGGTGTTGCTGCATGATTGTGTATTGGCGCTGCTTGTTGCATGTTTGTTGCATTGCTTGCTGCTTCCGCAGTTTGAGTTGCCCACTGATTGAAGCACCCTTCCTTTCCAGCCATATTCTACACTGGAATGGATCATGGTGACCTTTTACGAGAATGCCGGCTTATGCTGCACGCCATCTCGTCGCAGATCAGTATTCTTGTGGCTGGACTCCAAGGTCTCGAAGGTCAGCAACGGCATCCGCAGCCGCCTCCTCCGCCACCAGCACCTGACGGGCAATCACCACTGCCACCCCCACCAACATCGGCACCTCCGTCCGTGCCGGCCACATCGGTCCGACCAACTTATCCAACGGTGCCCATCACGCTTGTGGCCACCTCAGACAACCGGATGGAACCAGCCGGTCACGTTCATCCGGTGAGTGTCAGCACTTGCAGAGAACGCAGACGGAGAAGAAGATCCCGATAGCGGGACCCTCATCGGCGTCGGTCACGCAGCCGCAGCCACCACAGGCGTCCTCTTGGCCGCCCTGCCCACACTGGTTCCACGTCTGACCATCGCACTTTCATGCCAAAGCCCCCACCGGCAGTCAAGGCCATGCCGGCGTGTCGACCATCTGGTCTTTCATATGACCGTTGACGGACAACCAGCGGCAAAAGGTCCTCAGCACACCGATGTACACCAGTCTTGCTAACATGAGTTGTCTATGCTGTTCCGCAGCCTTTCTTGCTTGGGTTGGCCTTGCAGTGATTCCATTTACCATGCAGTTCTCAGTGGAGTTCGTGAACAACCTGGTGGCGGTACTCAATGTCCTCGCATCCCAAGTAGCGACTGCCCTGGACACCCTGAACTTTGCCCTGGCGACAGAGCGAAACCAGCAGTCCGACACCCGAGTGTCTCCCAGGGCTCCACGGAATTCCAGGCATGGACTGCGCCCTCGCATCATCACAGAGCGCATCTCGTCCGATCGGTCTCGCACTCCTACTCGAATCCGAACCCGGCCTGTGGATACTTCCTCCACCTATATACCTGCACTATCCCCGCCTCGTGCGGCACATCGGGATGCCACTGACAGCACTTCTGGTCGCCGTCCGGAGACAATGTTGGATCGGTTACCACCGCCAAGACCTCTTGCTCCCCTTCCCCCTCGCAGCGGTCGTGAACCAGGACAGGCATCGCCTACCACACCTGATTCGGATTCGGATGGTTCAGTTCGTCCACATCCAGGTGCTTCATCGTTCCGTCCATCTCCCACGGTGGTTCATGGACCTCGTGAACTTCTACAAGAATTCACTATTGCCCTTCGCAATGCACATCTTGAACCGTTCACGGCATGGACACAGGGTGAACTAGATGAGATGGTCAGACGGAAAAAGGACAAGGATTCCAGGCCCACCTACAAAACCATTGCCCGTTTCCTTCAGAAGCCCACAGAGGAAGTCAAGCAAGCCTGGAAGGTCTACCAGCAGCTTGAGGCTCGCGCTTAGGACACTTTGCATCGAGAGAACGAAAGACTCCCGGAAGGTGGCAGCGCATTCCGTGAGCGTTGCAAGTTGACGAGATGGTTTGAATTGCAGACATGGTAGATCGCATGATTCTTTTCTCACTTGCTTGCATGACATGGCTGGCATACTTTGCAGTGAGGACTTGAAAGACATTCATGACATTTCTGACATTGAGGGCATTGTTGGTTGTCATGGAAGTTGTTGATGACTTGGATATCATGCATGGCAGAGCTGCTACCGCGTTTATCTCTTCGACTTGCGGGTTTGAGTGTTCAAATCATGTTGGAGCAAGATGTGCAGACATTCATAACTTGGACCCATGGAGCGCAGCCGACGTGGTTACAGTTTCACGGGCCTGGTACATTGCTTGACAGACCAGTTGGATTGACTGCTTCACCTCCAACCCCGCCACGGTTTCCAAGACTTCTTCCACCTCCACCTCCTCCACCACCACCACCACCGGTGATTCTTCACCCACAGTTTATGCCCTCATTGCGAGCCCCTCTCCTCGAGGACAGTCATGCCCGGCCACCATGAAATCTCAGCGCACACGCCGCTCGGTACGCAGCGCTGACCAGTTCCGTGATGATGATCTACGCAGTCTCACGCGTTCTCCAAAACGCTCTTGAACAACATCCGCTTCTGTCATGCGGAGATCTCGGCGACCCTTCACTGTGCTCCCTTCAAAACGGGCTACTCGTCCATCACGGTCTGCATCGACAAGTTGCAAGCATTACTGTCATGCTTTTCTACATCATGGACGGAAGTGTCTTTCTCCCTGTGCTCGTCGCCGACCAGGACATTACCATTGCAGGTGTCTGCGGCATCAGCGGCGGTGAATCATAGTTGTCGTATACTACAGACTTTGTTGATTCGTCCCGCCTTCAGTTTGAAAAGTTGCCTTGCATTGCGTTGCTCAACACATTCACATTGCAGTCAGGGTTGTCATGGCATGAGTGTTTCGCCGCAGATCCCTTGGCTTTGCGCTTTATTTCAACAGCACTGTGACGACACATTTGGCTATCATGTACCCGCACTATTTTGAGTACCACATCGAGAGAGGCAGCTACCCTGGGACGTGCCCCGGACTACGCTTCCACGTATCGGGAGTGGCGCAAATCATATCACTTTGACGTGTACTTGCCCGCAGACAGCACCGGGGGGACAGCTGCGGACCCCAATGTCATGCCCATGTCGTACGTGTCATATCACGTGTGGGAATTCCGAGCCTGGAACACGCGAGGTTATCAACGCCTTGGCAATCCACGACCAGCCATTGGATCGACGGAGCTCGTGAATGAAGAAATTACTTCCTCGTCGGAGTCTTCAGTTCCAGATGGGGCGTGGCGGGAACCTTCTCCCCCACCGAGCTATGATCCTAATTTTGATTGGAACGAATCGGATTGATGCTTGAGCAACATGTCGGTTAAAACGATGCGATTGTGCCTGATTTGATTGCTGCATCAACTTGGGTTGTCTTGGCTTTTCCTTCTCCATGTTTTCGCCGCTCCCTTTTGCCTCAAAGCGGCTTATCTGGTTGGTATGTTCAATTCCACAATATGTGGCACTGCAAGATGGTCCCTACCACGCTATTTTGAGTACGACATCGTCAATGGCCCTGCGAGCACAAGCGTTGAATGGATTCGAGTCTATGTACCCGGTCCGTGGCAACCAGTCGCCGAATCCACCTTGGGACCGGCTCCGGATGACACAACGACCTATCGGGAATGGCGCAGGTTCTACCACTTCGACGTGTATTGGCCTAGTGACAGCACGGGAGGCACCACTATGGGCTCTGTTTCCCAGCCGGTCTCATATGCATCCTTTTACACATGGCAGTATCATGACTGCCATCCGCGCCCCAACATTGCACGTCCAGTTTTCGCTTCGGGATCACCAGACCTCATGTACGCTGGGCTGTCCTCTTCGTCGGCATCCTCGAACTCGGATGGTGGCTGATGTTCGTCCTCGTCTTTCCATGATATTCAATTTGATTGGGGCGAGTGACTTCGACACCTGAGCCGCGCCTTGCTACAAAAGTGCTTGCTTGCATGTTTGTTGTTGTGTCACATGTAGTGCTTGTAGTCTGCAGCCGTGCACCTCTCGATTTTGCATCAAGGGTTTGAGTTGTCATGCCGTGGCTGGAGTGGTGTCCGGATCCTCAAAAACAAGATGCTCAATGGGTCAAGATTTTTCATCCGGGATCATGGACTCCACAGGACGAACGTGATGATCCACCTCCGCCCCATACATACAGAGAGTGGAAGGAGTTCTATGTCCCAAATCTTGATCAAGAAGGCGGGCAGCCCAACAACAGCATTTGATCTTTCGTTCCCGTCTTCTGAGCGGCTTCGGGCAGTTTCGCGTTCTCCTCGCCGCTGTGGATATTTTGGTAAACGATAGAGATACGAAGTTGAGTATGTGATCTTCCTGCTGAAAAAAGAGACTTCTCGCCCCTCACTGAGGGGCGTGTGTGTGCGGAGTGGCAGAATACCCTGTCACCACAATTAGTAGCAGGGGGCCAGCGGCCATCAAGCAAACGCTGGCCAACGAAGCTATGCTTGATGGTGGATGCACGGATTGATCACCCGTGTGTACCTGCTTTTGTGAAGTGATGTTGATGAAAGTCCAGTTGGCCGCTTCTTTTGCCGCTGTGTGTGCTTCATGTTGAACCTTGTAACGTTTTCGACACTAGAGTGAAGCCAAGTGACCTGCCAGCCGAACCTTATCCGACTTGAGACTTGTCAGTTGTACTCGAGCCTCATCAGTTGTACTCGAGACTCATCAGTTGTACTCGAAAGATTAGCACCCTCCATCTGGAGTTTAAGTGTGTGTGTTTGTTGTTGCTCTGTGTTGGTAGTGTTTTGTTGTTTTGGCGGTTTGTTTGCTTTTTGTTGGTTTGTTGGTTTGTTTGTTGCTCTGTTTGCGGCATTGTTTGTGTTTTTCTCGCTTGTCGCATGGAACTGTATCCATTTGGGCAAACTATATCGACGTCACCGGCACGGCATGTCTTTCATAGTGAACCTGATCCCTTCTTATCGGGCAAATTTGTCCGTTCCTATTGGGGTCGGTCGTGCCGAGTCCGGGCGGGTGCGCGACCTATGTGCAGCCCGACTGCCCGCTATACTCCGCCCGGCACTCAGCGCAAGCGGAGAGAGCGCATGTCGAATCTCCGGACCAAGGCATGGGTTCCGTTTCCGCCGCCATCCCAAAGGCGTCCCAATTGTGGACGAAATGACAAAAAGTGTACTCCCACAAACATGATCTCACTTGGGTCAAAAGAAGCCCACAACTCCCATTTACACCCTTACATCAATCAATCTCTTGACAACTCCGCTTTGCCAGTCAACGGAAGCTCCTCCAAAGGGCAACCGGTTGGGCTAATCAGCAGCCAGGTGGCCCCTTTAACCTAGATGAAATCCCTTGACCCCGCGCCCGGTTTGCCCAAGAAAGGCCCGGGTCTTCCGATAGTCAAACAGACACACGGAGCAGTTCACTCTTTCTGCAGGATCCTTGCGTTGATCATTGTCCATTGAGTCGCGGTAGATAAGCCCAGACGCCTCTCTTCAACAGTGGAATATTCCCGGGTCGAGGTCCTGGACTGGCACAAGCCGCAGGTGGGAAGTTGAGATGCGACGAGGTGCTCAACTTGGGTTTGCCTTAGGCCCAAAAAGGGTACCCCGAAAACAAGGCACGCCCACTTTTTCTTGAGGATCGTGAGAATTGATTGAACAAAGAGCTTTGGTGAAAATGGTTTTGACCGGGCCTTGAGGGGGACGGCAAACACTTTCCCATGCAGGTGGCTTCAACCACCAGTTTCCTGTTTTTATCTGCCGGCGCCTGAGAAGCTGCGAGTGAGTCAGGAAAACTGGCCCCTCTGAGTCTTCCCTAGCCATGCCCAACAGACGCGATGTATCTTGGCAGGGGATGGGTAGAAGGCCTTTTCCCCGCCTTATGCCTTTTTTTGGGCGAGGGGTTGACCTTCAAAATCAACCAACAGTTTGGCGCCCATTTTCCCAGAACACACTCGGCTTGGGTTCAGTTCAGTGCTGAAAGCCCGCCCGCGGGATTTATCTATGTAACTCTTGGGCGTCCTCTAAGGCTAGTTTATATTGTCGGGGTAAACTGACTCCGGAAGAGAGTCAGAAAAACGATTTCTGTGCCCTGAGGCTTCTCAACGTCAATTCCATGCGCTGAGTGAGGGTATGCAACCTCTCGTTAACCCTCTATTTTATGAACCGCTCAAAGCGAAATTGATATTTGACACAGCATTGTTTGCCCTCTCTTGATTCTTGGTCATGGGTGCTGGGGAAAAGGGCACCTTCCCGGGTGCAGATTCCGATGCCTAGGTGGCTTGTCCCTTGGCGATAGTGCTGTATGCCATGCTGGCGCGTCTGCGGGACAGCTTGGGATTGTGTGTTTTGTCGCGGGCGCCCTTCTTTCCTTTCGGTTGAAAGAGAAACCAAAGGGCAGATAGGTGGGAATCCCCTTGTTTTCACAAACACCCGGCTATGAATGATGATTAGAACTTATTGCCAGATGATTGGTGGACAGCAATCTCCACCCAACACGCCCCGCATCGACGTGGGTGGGATTGCGCGGTTTTCGAGGATTGAAAATCCCCAGCTGGCCAGGACGCGTGTCAGTTCATCTAAAGGGGAAACATTTCCGAAAAGATGTTTGCAACGCCCTTTCGGGTGGCAATTTGGCAAACTCAAGAATGAGCGCATGCACACTTTGCCATCCAAGCCGACCTTCAATTCCTCCTCATATTTTCTTCGAAGACGAACTGTAGGCGCAAGTGAGCCAAACCATGTCTCCATACCTTCAAGGCGGGATTTGCTGCGAGGACGCCTGCGACAACCAGCTGGATTTGAGGGAGATGGACGATGTCGTCAGGTGAGAGTAGAAATATGTGTGTTGGTGTGTTCGTGTGTTCGTGTGTTTGTGTGTTCGTGTGTTGGTGTGTTGATGTGTTGGGGTGTGGGTGTGGGTGTGGGTGTGGGTGTGGGTGTGGGTGTGGGTGTGGGTGTGTGTGTGTGTGTGTGTGTGTGTGTGTGTGTGTGTGTGTGTGTGTGTGTGTGTGTGTGTGTGTGTGTGTGTGTGTGTGTGTGTGTGTGTGTGTGTGTGTGTGTGTGTGTGTGTGTGTGTGTGTGTGTGTTTGTGTGTGGTGCGTATGTGCGTGTTGTGTGCGTGCGTGTGTGCGTGTGTGCGTGCGTGCGTGTGTGCGTGTGCGCGTGCGTGCGTGTGTGTGTGTGTGTGTGTGTGTGTGTGTGTGTGTGTGTGTGTGTGTGTGTGTGTGTGTGTGTGTGTGTGTGTGTGTGTGTGTGTGTGTGTGTGTGTGTGTGTGTGTGTGTGTGTGTGTGTGTGTGTGTGTGTGTGTGTGTGTGTGTGTGTGTGTGTGCTGTGTGGTTGGGTAAGCAAGCTGCCGCTCCTTTCAGTTGCTCTGTGCGCTGGCTGCTTTTGGGATTCTTCTTTTTCTTTGAGGAATTGGTCAGGGTTCTCCATTGGAGGTCCCGGGCAACATTGGTCGGCGGTCTCTCGCGCAGGCGCCAAATGGAAGCCCTGCAGGCTGGGAGCCCGCGCGTGTTCCAAATGAAGTTCTGGAAACTGCATCTCGGGCTTCCAGGCCATGTGATAATCTGGGATTGCAACCCTTTGCAAGGAATCCACGTGATGTCAAAAACTGACGACGTTTTCTGATGTTCTGCAGCCCTCACGCAACCCTTTGCCAAGATCCCAGTTGCTTAAACGTAAGCTTTGCGTGAATTCCTGCGGTCCACAGATCAACCGTTTCGCGCCTGTCAACTCTCGCCGCTGCCCCGTGCGAGTTTTGTTGCTTTTGTTGATTGCGAGCTGATCCCCAGAAGTTGTCTCGCGGCGCAAAGCGCATTCCCTGATCTGCGCCCGCACTTTGTTCAGAAGTAAAGAAGCGCGTTCCCGCAGCTCTGGCTGGAAAATGGACAACCTTTAAGTTCAAAAGAAAGAAACTTCTGCAAAGCATCGCGCAAAGATTGTGCAGAGAGACTTGCAAAGAGCGCTTGTGCGCGGAGCACTCACGTGCTGACTTGCTGGCGCATGGAACAACTTGCACAAAGCACCTCGGAAACAGCGACCTGCACAGAAAGTAGAGAAGTTGCACAGAGCAATTTGCACACAGCAACTTAAGCTTGCACTGGGAGGGAGGTACCTTTTTCCGGCAACCAAAGAGCGGGCAACGGGTTCGAAACGCGAAGTTCGCATTCTGCAGGCAAGGGAGCGCGAGCTGTTGAAAGCAGCCATCGAGGAGGAGGAGCAAGGCCTCAGCTTTCGAATCCCAAACCCCAGGCTAACGCCGACCTTGTAATTTGTTCGGTCAACCACAAGGTTCAAAAGGTTAACCTATTTTGTGGTCCTCTAGGTAAGTGTGGCTGAAGCCTTGCGGAACAAGAGGGCGAAGATTCACGGATGCTGGAGGTTTTGAGGGTTAAGATCCACTAAAATTACATGGCCGACATAGGAAATCCGAGACAAAAGTTCCTGGCAAGAAAAAGATGTTAGTGCAGTCTGTGACAATAGGATTGGCCTGGTTTGCGTGCTGCAAGGTTATTGCTTCTGTCGCTGCCGGTGAAACGGTTCAAATTGATGGCGCGCAAAATAGCCGCTGATCACAAAACCTGAAAATATGTTAAAAGTTGTTGTAAGTAACAAATATGTGGATGCCAATAAATAGATACAAAAATATGGTGAATATAATAAGTTGAAAAGAAAATAAGAAATGTATATGTTTTTTTATAATATAGTGATGGGTGAATTTGCATTGTATACATGGTGTATGATTGAAGACAGTTTTTGAATGTATTGATTGAGGTAAGAGTGTCTTGTGAATGTTGATAGTGTATTGTTTCGTTTTAGAGTGAAATTTGTGTTCAAATTGTTGTTGTTTTTTTGGGTTTGGGTATGATAGTTTTGTATGAAATGGATGGTTTGTCGTGGTATTGTTGTTGTTTTTTGTTGATATTTGGTAGATATGTATGAGAATTGTTTGATGGAATTGTTGTTTGTGTTTTGGGTATATGGTGTAGATGAATTTCTTTAAAAAAATAATCGGGGATATTATTTGTTTGAATTGGATTATAAATGATATTAATTTTATATATATATATATATTATTTATGGATTTTAATAATTATATATATATATTTATTTGATTATATATTTAATATAGTATTTGTTTTTTTTGTTTTTATAATTGGTTTTGTTAAGTAATTTTTAAACGGAATGGTTTCGAGGTTATATATTTCGTATATTGGTAAGATGTTGTAATGGTATTTGGGTTGAATTATAATATTTGTATTGAATATGTTGTGTTGTTTTTGGTAATGCTATTTTTAGGGTTTTTGTTTTAATATTTAATTTAATGAAAATATAGGGTCGAAATCGAAATTTCTTGAAAATTTGTGCTGGGTGTGTTTTATTTGTTTTTTTTTGTGTTTTGTTTGTTATATAAATCCGTATTTATTATGTTTATATGTTTTGTTGTTTTTCTTTATTTTTTATATGTTTTTTTTTATGTTTGTATATATTTGTTGTTGTATGTATGTTGTTTTATCTTAAATTGTTGTGTTTTGGTTTTTGTGTTTTGTTTTTTGTTTGTTTGATTGTTTTTATATATTTGTATTTGTTATTTATTTTTATTTGTTTGTATGTGTTTTGTGGATTTGTTTTTAATAGAATTATATGTATGTATATAGTTGTGTATTTGGCAATGTCTATGAATTTTTGTTTTGTTTTTATTGTTTTATGTGTTTGTATTTATTGTTACGGATCGATTTATAATTGATATATGTTTATAATATTATTTTATATATCTTTTTTTATATTATGTTTATTTATATTTCTTTTCATTTTTGATTATTGACATTATTGATTTTACAAATTTGTTTCTTGCTTGCTTGCTTGCTTGTTTGCTTGCTTGTCTCCTTTTCTCTTTCTCTGCTTCTTTTTTTTTCTCTTTTTTTTCTGTTGTTTTTTCTCTTTTTTTTTTTCTTTTTTGTTTCGTGTTTTTTTTTTCTCGTATTCTTTTTTCTCCTCTTTTTTTCGTTTTCTATTTTTTTGGTTTTCTCTTTTTCTCTTTTCTTGTTTTCGTTGTTTTGTTTCTTTCTGTTTCTCCTTCTTTTTCCCTTTTTTTTCTTTTTCTCTGTTTCTTTCTTTCTCGGTCTTTATCTTTCTTTTTTTCTTTCCCTCCGTTTTTTTTTGTTCTTTCTCTCGCTCTCTCTTTCTTTTGCCAAACTACATGCTTCACTTCCTACATTTATATTATATATAATTATAATACAATCAAAATGGTAATATTAGTTAATAAGACCAAAAAAGCATTTCATAAGATCTCCAACTACGAGCTGGACAGATCACGAATATCGAGATCAGACCACTTATCTTGCACTACAACAAAATGATTTTAGCCTGTATTATATCTATGATGGAGGAGCTGTACCAATGAATATTGACATTATATAGAGGAAAGGAAAACATTACAAAGACAAAGGGGAAAAGAAGACAGTTACAAAAATCCAAATCGCGGCAGAAGGCCATACAGAGAAAATCGAGGACAAAGACTCCGTCTGCCTCTACATGATTCTGGATCGCGCGACTAGGTGACGTCTCGATAGCCCACTACGGTGTGCAACCTGCCGTCTATCTTTGGCCACCGAAAGAATTTTATGATTCAAGCAACCTTGACTGCCACAAATGAGGAAATGAAGCATGTAGTTTGACACGTTTTTTTGGGTTTCCAATGCTAAAACATTGGCAGACAAAACCATTGTTGTTGTTGTTGTTTTTACTGTTCAGGTTCCAGCTTGATGCGTTGGACGGAAGTTAGCCAGGCAGCTATTTTCGTGCGGTAGTCCTTGGGGGCGGTGTTGTGGTACCTTGTGGGTGTTGTGGGGTTTGTCATGGTGAGACTGTGAATCCGTGGTACTGGATTCTTTTGCAGAGGAGCTGTGACAGTAGTGGCATTAGGTTTAAATTTTATGTTTCGTTGTCGTCGAAGATGGTCATGTTGTAGGTTGACTTGTTACAAAGGATTGGATTCAACAAAGGCAACAAAGGAAACGCTGGATATATTTTTGATCAAATAAAGGCTACAAAGGCCAAGCAAGCTACATCAAAGGAAACAAGAACTACACAACATGCCATCAACGTGGCAAGCAAGCCTGGCCACTGTAGAGTGCCGGTTTTAGGAGGAGGAGAACCTGAAATCTCGAGTCATACCACCAGCTGTTGATCATCTGCACATGTTTGCTTGCCCAGACCTGCCGCGACAACCTTGTGGGGAATCAGTCTCTTTGCTACGTTTGTGATATGACATATCAATAATCATGGAGGATATGGACTTGACTGCACTCCACGACAATGCACCATCACACATGAACAACAACAAGCACACCTCATAAGACACTCAGGACTTTTCTACCTACGAGCACCTTGATGAGACATGCGGGCAGAGAAGATGGACATCCTTACAGGATTCCACATCTACCCAATAACAGACGTGCAGATTGACAACTCTGCGCCAGAGTTCACAAACGACCACGCAACCCTTGTTCACCACACAACAGCGGTTGCCGAATTCCTCAAGCAAAACAGATTGGCACCATCATCGACAAGAACAACAATCCAAACACATCTTTCCAACAAGAATTTCAACAAAGATTACCATTTGAGTGACACCTGGACTAGAAAGACAACACCTACACGCAGAGCATCATCAAGGAACAAAGCCACAACCGCTAATGGACGCACCACCAACCAGATCCACAAGCACCAACCCAAAAGACATGGAGATTTTTTTCTAAATGCACTTCTCCATTTTAATCCATGCAGCTCATCCAATTTTTTGCACGACATTTTTAAAAAACATTTCTAATCAACTTCTGACCATATTTATGATTGACATTTCTAACCAATACTGACCAACACTTAACCAACAATCCTTTTGCTCATTAACACTCTAAACAAGATTTTTTTTCTAAAAAAACAATTCTGATTTGCACATCTGAGCATTTATGGAATTAGAGTATCAATTTTAACTCAAACAAAAGTATGGGAGAAACAATATTCAAAAGAGAAGTCGATCAGAAACAAGGTCATACAGAAATTTTGCTTAAAAAAAAAAATATATTCACAATCACAAATTATATATATTTTGAAGTATTGAAAATTTTCTTAGAAGTAACAGCCTTGCTGAGATTTTTATCCTTGAGAAATATCCATAAATATATATTATTAAAATTGTTTCTCAAAAAACATTTAGAATTTAGTTTTAGAAAGTTATAAAAAAATCTGAATAATTCTAATTGGATCCCCCCTAACTAGACCATAAAATTCTTTAACTGTTCGATGACAATCAAAAAAATCATTGATAATTATTGATAAATACATCAGAAATACTATTATCACTATCAATCAAAAATTTTGGTTAGGAGAATGAAACCATCTACTAAGTATATAACGACCTATCCTTAAATATAAAAGGCATTGTGAGCATTAAGCACCCCTTCCCTTCCTTTTTTTATCCCCCCTATCGGTGATTATAGTGCTATACTATGAAATTCAAGTCTATTAATCGGTGGATGTCCTGGTTTTGTGGAGTATGCAATGTCTGGTCGTATCCATTGAAGTTTGCCAACAAAACGTTTTGTGTTGTTCGTGGTCAAGTAGTGCTTCATCTTCTTTTGTTGGTTCGTAGTGTGCAATTCCTGGAGTGTTCACTGAGTTGCAGTTCATTCCAGAATCCTTGATCATGTTGCCGATGTAGGAGTCCTTTAGTGCAAGATTGCAGTAGTTGCCAAAGTGGTTTCTTCCAAGTGCTTGAGTAGGACCTGCATAGTTTGTTCTTGACTGAGTACTTGAAATTCCTCCAGCGTCAAAGCCACGTAGACCCTGAAGTAGTTCTGTGCCGCGATCGCTGGAGTGTCATGGATGTTGTTCTCAACAGTAGTAGACTGCATGACCAACAACCTACAAGGATTCATCTCTGAATGCGGAAGAACACACGGCATACTACAAAGCGACAACGAAGACACACTCAATGCATTACTAAAACGGCTCAATGACTCTACGACATTCACCATCCTACAGCAGCAAGAGTTCTCGGACAAGTCCGCGTCGTCAAAGCTCAGGTTGGAAGCAGCTACAGCACGACGATATCCACAAAGCACTGTCTAGCATGGACGGGGTCATTTACTCTGACGGCTACAGAAGCTTTGAACGCCGCTGGGGAAGAAACCACAAGCGAGCAAAGCAGACCTACGGATGTAGAAATGCACCTGGCTTGGAAAAGGTTTCCGAAACCGAAAAAACAACGTTGCAACGGAATCAGGCGTACAAAAGGCACGAATCACATAAAAAACGACCTTGCACTGTTGAACAAGGTTTCCGGCACACCATGGGCACCGCGACGGAACACCTACAACCCATCGTTCGCAACGCTGTTGGATACGCAACTACAACCGTCAGAGAATAGAAGGTCCACGCAAGATTTCGGACAGCAAAAGAACAACAAAACAGCAACGCACTGCACCACCTCCCGTCAAGTGCACGACCACTACCGGATATTCCTATTGGCACTTCACCAACCGGACGACAACATCCACCACTACCAGCACCACCTCGACAAAGATTACAACGTTTAATTCCGAAAAAAGTGATGCAACAAACTAAAGCAGCACCACTACGACAGAAAATTAACGCAGTGACACTTCCCAACGGAAAATCCATCACCCCTACACAAACGACGACACCTCAAAAGACCAACCCAAAATCTTTAACAATGAAGGTTGCGACAAAACACAACTACTGGAAGCGAGTCAAGCCAAATGAAGCTACATGACGTCTACGACGAAGAAGATGCGTCTACCGTTTACCGTCTAACGTCATGAGAGAAGCGATACCTACAAGATGGGTAAGCAGAAAGAAAGGACCAGCAGTGCGAAGCGGAATCGTCGCAAAAGGCTACACAGAGAAGATCCGTCCACGCCTCTACACCAATATTCAGCACTACAAACACAACCAAACTGGATAGCGCGACTAGGCGACGTTTCTACACGCACTGCAAAAGACCAACCACGACGGTAAACAACGTCCCGTCCACCTTTGGCCACCGAAAGACTTTGTCCACAACACGACTAAAGAAAGCCATGTATGGACTACACAGTTCACCAAAAGCATGGCAGGACTACCTGACTGAAGTGTTACGAAGCTCAGCTTTGTAAGGCTAAAGTCAGAACCTAACGTCTACACAAATGCGACTTGCGACTGCTACATCATGGTCTGCGTGGATGACCGCTCCCATTCCCGAGCTCAACTACAAGTCACGAGCCATTCGGATGCCAATTTACGACTCAATACCTCTTCACCTATGTCTTTCAAAGACAGTCAACTTCTTCTACTACTGACATCACTACACCTCACAACCCAATACATCAACTCGATGCGCATTGTCACTAATTTCTCCCGCCACTACTCGAGCCACATGATCTCCACCGACAAACACCACCTTCCTACACGCCAACTACATCAACAACTACACCGACTCAACTACGATTTGGACCAAATGATTTACCACACCTACCCAAACTACTCAACTACCTCCGACCAACCACAACAACTTCAAGATCACCACTACAAGTCCATCAACACGATTCTACACAAAAGTGTCACCTACTACGGCATCTCACGGCAACGAATCTTTCAAACTACTACTCCACAACTTTCTCACTACAACCGGCCAAGCACTTGCACCGCCGGAGTGCGACTACAACCGTCTCCAGACTTCCTCAACATATTCACTACCAACCCAATATACAGGCTTAGACTGCCGCATCGGCCACCACAGGACTAAACATACCTGATCTTACTTCGAAATGAGTGAGAGCCCACTTAAGGTTAGTTAATCTATGGACAACAGCGCCATTGATATCTATCTTCGGTCATTTTTTAACAGACTACATGCTTGCTCGCTACAGTAGCATCGGCAACAACATATGCATTCGTTTTACGGTCAACACCACCTTTTGGGTTTATAATTAAAAGGACACTACAAAGTCTTTTAACCAAAGGGCCGTATCAAATAACATGCTGCACTACTTATCCCTTATATATGCATGATATACACTACCCGACCGCAGGCCCTGAGTCTACCAGGCAAAGAGAGCATACTAGCTAACTACATTTGTGTTTGTAACAACATAAACAACACCTATATTTATAGTAAAGTATCGACGTATTTTAACATCTTTCTTTTTCTCTCTCTTTCTCTGCTGCTAATGCCGATTGTCCTGACGTATCGTAGTAGTTTAGTACGTGATTGTCATTGCAGTCGTTGTATTTGCTGCTGTATACTAGGGCTCCCCTATATTTAGGATCTCAGCTCCGCTACCTCGTTAAAATCAGACTATTAATTATTGCAAGTGCAAATTCTGTAATGTTATTAATGCAAACGAACCTGTAGCGTGCACAGCTCCTATTTTACATGGGGTCATGGAGGTAGTGAAGCTCAAGCCTGCGTTCATGTACAAGCTACGTAGTACCACATGAGAAAAAGAAAGAAAAGAAAATACAGAGAGAGAGCGAGAGAGAGATAGAGAAAAAGAAAGAGGAAAAGAAGAGAGAGAGAAGAGAGCGAAAAAAAGAAAGAAAGAAAGAAAGAAAGAAAACAAGAAAGAAAGAAAGATATAGGGGAAGAGAACGAGAAAAACAAAAATAATAATAAATATGATTGCTATATATATGGAAATTTCCGACCATCGGCTTTAGTGAATCTCTATTCTATTCTAAAAGGCTATACGAAATAACAAGTACAAAATGAAAGACGAAGAACAAGTTGTATTGCCTCTTCAGTATTCAAACTTGCGTTTTCGGAGCGGTTCCCTAAATTTCCGCGTCGGATATCTAAAAAAGGATTATTATGGATACCTAAGAAAGGATAGAGGATAACCCCCCCCTTAGTTCCCCCCGGGACACGTCAAATACCCGCGTACCGCGTGGCAATTTGATAACGTTCCACTAAACGTAATCTTCGGGGAGCGGGTCTGGAGAAACGGGGGTCCCAGGCTCGAATCCTCCCGCCGCCTCTTTCTGCCGGCTAAGGTTTTGTGCTGCCTTTTGCGGAAAATTTTGCGACACATGGTATTCGGTGGTTTTATTTTGTTAACATCATTGAAAAAAAAAAAAAAAAATGTGCTTTCCGATTTCCTTGACAATTGGCATCAATTTTCCCCCCAATTTCCCCTAACTTCCCCCAATGTTTTCCGCAAATTGCGCCTTACTTTCTCACCAATTCCCTCCCACTTTCGTTTCAATTTCCATCCGATTTCCCCCCAATTTCCCCCCCAGTTTCCCCCAAATATCCTGGCAAATTCCCCAATCCCAGCTTCCTTCCAAATATCGCCCCCAATGTCCTTCGTGTCGGATACTTGGGCCATGCTAAGAGCAATGCTAAGCCACGTTTCTCGCAAGCAAGAATGTCGTAACGCCCCTCAGAAATCAGCTTATCCGTGCACCCCGCCAAAATGACACACAATGGCCATAACATACCACCCAGCATTAAGGTGCCCTAAACGGCAAGCCTTCCTGTTCGCAATTGTATGCCCTGTTTGGTCGTCACTCCGCCGATATTGCTCGGCGTATCGGGAAGGATGGGGGAACCAGAGAGGACAGAAGAGTATACTAGGGAGACATGAAAGAGGAAGAAGGAGACAAACTAGATGCCAATGTCGGCGGACTAAGCCGGAGGCTCTAAAATTAATTGCCTGGGTCGTAATCATTCGAGGTTAGGATGTCCCATGTCGTTTTGCAGTTTTGGAGAACAGTTGTTTCCAATAACACCATCCTACATTTTTGAGATAACAAATGCCGCACATCATAAAATGGCAGTGCCCAAACACATATAACACATACCTGCTAACGCAGCATTACCAAGGGCCTCTACGCTGCCGAAAAAAAAAGGAGCACGTCCACGTCCCTTGCTTACTCTACTCTACTCAATAGGCATAAAAAGAAGAACAGGAGGAGGAGAAGCAGCAGAAGGGCAGCAGCCAGCAGTAAAAGAGCGGCATCAAAACAGCAGCAGTGGCAGCAACGGCAGAACATAGCAGCAGCAGCAGCAGAATAGACCAGAACAAAAAAAATAGAAGATCCTGACAAGTTGGTCTTAGCCGCCTTTTTTGTCACAACGCATCGGCGACTTCGATGTCGAAGTATGTCCAGGGCCTCAATTTGCGAATCCGCGCCCTGCGCCTGCGCACGTATGCGTGCCTACGCGCATCGATGGCTGGGTGACCATGTTGGAGGGAAGTGGTTTGCATAAGGGCCCGGCATCTCCGCTCGTGCTTGGAGCAAGCCGGACGAACTCACTCCAGAGAACCAAAGCCTTGCGACGTGACGTCTCATGAAATGGCCGGGCATCAGTCCAGGTAGTCTGCCCCTTGACTGGTCAGATTAGCTTGTTGTTTTCTGCCCAACTAAGGCATTCCAGCCACGCCTTGCTTAGGTTGCAACATGCAACCTTTGGCCAGGCGGAATTGATTGAAGACCCGAGAGTGTTCAGGAAGAATCCCTGAACATGGAGTCGCAAATGCCAGAATTTTCAGAGTGGATCTTTCTTTGCCAAGTTGCGTGAGCATATGTGGTTCATGCCAAGAACGTGCCAACAGTTGAAAAGCTTGTCTGGGTGCTGAAAAGCAAACATATGAACACTTTGGGCACGGGTGCCCCCGCCCTCGAACTAGCGCCACCTGGCTCTTTTCTACCGTGCCTAAGCAACCCACTGAAACGTACCAAATGCAAAGAACTGTGTAGTATTTACAATCGTGGGCAAACAAAAAAAGCGCTGAAGCCCAGCGGCGACAAGCGTTCCAGCCGCGGTTGCGCCACCGTGGCCAACAAGTGAAGGGAGTCGTCCTGAAACCAAACGCGGAGCGATGACCAAACACAGTTTTCCTGCGTAGGGGCACAGGCGTCACAGGCGTTTGGCAGGTCACGTTTCCGCGGGTCCAACGATAGGCAGGTGTCTTCTCTCAAGTCTGTTCTCTTGCGGAATGGGGGCTTCAGAGCTGGGGATGCGAAGCACTGGCCGGTGTGAATCGAACTCATGGATCCAGCCCGCTCCGTGATTCCGGCGCCGCCCAAGCGAAGGCGCCGGAGTTCTCCTGAGCGAAGGGTGCCCTGAGAGCCTGAGGGGTGTCCAAGTTCGGGGACCCTAAGCCTTGGACATTGCCTGTTTTGGGCTCACATGTGCTTCGAAGCGTCGGCATGCTAGCAGCGCGCAGGCGAAACCCGCATTGGTGACAAGACACGAGGCCACTGTCAAATCCTGCCAGGAAAGGCGTGAAAGGCTTCTCTGCTGCAATTCCATCCTGCAACAGGTGGCAACTTTGCACCACCAGCTGCAATCCATGATCATCGACTTCACCTGCTGCAATGCTCGAAAAGGCAACTCAAACAATCCCGACACCATGAGTCAGAAAGGGCCATCGCAAAATGCAAGCTGAGGGCCTGGCATTCTGCCCCAACTCCCCTTTGCATGAGCTTGTGCGGTCCCAGCCACAGGTATCGAAGGCATCTGGCATGCGGACTTTCACCCCACGTTAGGTAAGTGGCTCATATCCCAAGTCAACAAGTCTCCCGTCTAAAGAATTTCCTCGCAGGGGATTGCAAGCTGGGCACCACTTGCTCAGTGGGGTGATCATCCAATAGCTGCAGCTCGCAGAAACACATGGCTGGAACCTCCAGCCAATACACTGCTTGTAGGAGAGAGCGCTGTTGCTCAACGGCGCAAACAATGATAAGGACCTCAGCTGAACCCAATGTTCATGTTTTGCGACATGTGACGTTCCTTGGCCCCTCGCCTGATGTGACCTTGTTCGTTGAACATGGCCTGCGCAAACGGATCAGGGCTTGTTGCAGGGCTAGAGGCTAGAGGCTCAGCCCCCTAATTGCAACATCCCCGGCAACCTTTCCAACACCCGCGAGTCCGAAGCAAATTGGGTGCTGTGACACATTAAAGGGCGTGCTCGTGGGCCTTTGGCCATCTGTGGTTCTGTGAAACGGCTTGGGGGAATTAGGACAAGGCCGCGCTTCTCCATGGCAAGGGCGAAAGTTCCGTCGGCTTCAGCTCCAAGGGCATGAAGGGCGAGTGCCGACAAACTGGGCATCGGGGGCATTTCTGCAGCCACTGTGACCTGAGGTGACTTGACGTTGACGGACCCCTTTCCGAAAAAGTAAAGGGAAAACAACAAAATACAAACAAACACTGAAAGAGGACAGTCTCAGGCCCTGACGCGCATGCTGTATGGAAGGTGTGGCCACATGGCAGTGGCGCCACACCCTCCGCGGGCAGAAGCTCCAAGCAAATAGCGCACTCATTGGAGGTGTGGACGTGTCTCCGGCTCCTGGGGTCCTTGTCGCTTCCGAGGCAAACCGACGTGCCGGTTAGGCCTGCTCTGAGCACCTCCAGCTGCCGCCTCCAATCGCCGTCGCTGCCACTGGCGGCCACCGACGCGGTTTCGCGCACATGGTGCAGCCAGCGTTGGATGCCCTCCCCCGTGGTGGACGGCGGCTCGGGCGGCGCGGGGCGATGGGCCGGCGCCTTCGGCGGCACGGGCTGCGGTTCGGCCCGGGCCCGGGCACGGGCCTCGGGGCGTGCTACCAGGGATTGCGTGGCCGCGGCCGCTGCGGCGCACTTGTCCTCGGCTGCCTGGCGGGTGGCCACCGCACGGGCTGCTGTGGCCTCGGCGTTGTTGGGCGCCGCCACCACGGACAGCACCACACGCAGCGTTTCCACCCCAGCCTTCAGAGAGGCACGCAGAATGGCCAGGTCGGCGTTGGACAATGCGCGGAAGTTGCCGCAAATCCACTTCTCCACCACAACGCATCTCCGCCAAACTGCTAGAAGTGCCAGCTCCTGCACTGCTTCTGAGTCCTCCATGCCATGCTCATGTTCCATGGCTCTGTATGAGCGCGCCACTGCCCAAACTTTTGAGATGTCGAGGCCTTTATCCGGCACAGCGTGAAAGAAATCCTGCCACCTTGATACCTTCTCAAGAGCAGCCTGGTCTTGAATTGGAGCCATCTGCCCAGCCCGAGTGGGTTTACATCTCTCCCCCAGCTTTGCGGCAAGGCCTTCCAAAGACTTCAGCCTCTCGGTGCATTGCTGGGAGAGATTCGCAGTGACGCTTGGCACAGTGGTCTCCTCCGCTTCGCCTCCCTGTCGGAACACCGCTGGCAGCTCCGAGACGAGCCGCAGCATGGGACATGTTCAGCACATGCTCCCAAGGCCTGGAAGCGCTTTCGGCGTGACCGCTGAGCCAAAGACCGGCGCACCCAGCACAAAGCGCACAACTGTTTTGGGGGTGTCTGTGCAGAAAAAGCCGACTTTTAGCCAACAAAAAAGGAACCAACAACAAGAGCAATGTTGTTTTTTGCGACCAAATCAAACTGTAACTACCCAACAATTGCATGGTCCAAAGTGGCCTTGGACTGGGAGTCCAAGATCTGGCATCGCCTGTGCCCGCTCAACAGAGATGTGTCGCTCCGCATGTCCACAAAGTGCGGCGCGAGCTCACTGCAAGGCTCCGCAGGGGCAGCTGCTTCACCTCAGACAGCACCGCCCACGATCCAACAGCCCTGAATTGGATTCCTTTTTGGGTTGACCCCACGAAAGGAGAGCACGAAACCCAACCGGATTGGACGAAATTTCTGGGAGGTCCAGCAAACACGGCTGATATTTTTTTCGGGAGAGGTATCAATGTGTACCCGAGGTGCCATCGTGAGGAGTCCACGCTCGCTCACGGTGCCGACCTGCATTGCTCGAGGTTGGCCCAGCGATGGCTAGAATCGGAAGCAGTGAAGGGAAACCCGCTGGATGTTCAAAAATCCAAGACATGCTTAAAGTTTACACAGGTGGTTGGCCAAACCTCTAACCCCATGTGGACGAAGCTCTGCCCTGCCCTGCCTCTCTCCAGGAGTCTGGGAAGAGACGAACCTCTGAGCAGTTCAAAATGCGGTCTCGGATCCCTAACTCACATGGTCTCGCTGGTTCCTGGCCGCGTGGAATTTAACGTTGCCGCCATGAGAATTGAAAGTGGCAACACACACGCATGCGCAGGCACACCGAGCTACTGGCCTGTTCCAACCTACATGCTCACACCATGGGACTAGCGCGACAGGTTGGGCGCGGTGCCGTGGAGACCACCAGACCAGCTGCTGCAGCGCATCATCGTCCACGCCATGACCTTAGCGCATGATGCGCATAGCTGTCCATTGGGAAAAAGCGAAGGCACTTGACAATGACAAAAAACAAAAAACAAAAACTGGCCATCTAGTTTTAACTCACCAACAACGACGCCTATGATTGATGCAGGTGCGCTAGGTGAAATTATGTGTATGCGCCCGGCAGCCATGGACGGTGAACGAGACGAGCTCAGTGCACGAAGGGCCTGGCGATCTGATCCCGGCATGGGCCAAATCATGCGTGCTCGTTGCGGGATCCGAACAGGGTCGGTTTCCTTTTAGGGGGCTTGTCCCAGTCTTCTTGGGGTGGAGTCTGTCCCTCCCTCCCAGTTCTTTTTGGAAACATCTACATCTAAGAGCTGCGCTGTGACCCAAAGAAGAGATGATCTCAGCTAAACCGAGGGGTGCGGCCTGAGCAGACCAGATTGCAAGTCTCTTTCATAGTCCCTTGAACAAATAGATGCTCACTGGGGAATTGTTAAAACCAAATGGCAAACACTGCAAATGGCACAATCATTTTCAACCAAACGTGCCACACAATGACACGAATAGTTTCATCCAATTGCTTCTGAGGCGTCCGCGTAGTCAAGGCACAGCGACCGCAAATGTTGCATGTGGGAAACAGCCTCAACATCGCTAGCAATCTAAATCAGGCATTGCAATCTTGTCTAACTTGCCCAGCCAAGCAGAAAAAAGGAGGACTCCATTTTGTGATGGGCCGACTGCCACCGGACGATGCTCAGTGTCCGACTTGTAGCCAATGGTTGGCCCTGCCTCGATCCTGAGACCGCTTTCGGCAAAGACGCGCATTGCCTACAAGTTGGCTCCCTAGTGTTTAAACTTCAACTCAAGAGCGCAGAGATGCGGATTCGGACACATGCTCAAACGAGGCCCTGAAACTAAGCCGCACTCCGTCCGCGCGTGGAGGGCCAAATGCAAGCTGACCAAGCTGTTTGCCGTTCGGCAAAAGGCCACAAGCGGCACCAGCAGCATGGCAGTCGCATGAGGCCTCATGCTTCAGAATTGTCCGTTGTTGATGGAAACATGTCCCACTTCAAAGGGAGTGTTCACTTTCTTGGGGAACCTCGTCCGTGAATTGACGAGGGTTGGAAGGTTCTCTGCGCAAGCTCAGGCTCCCACTCCACATGACGGAGCACTACTCTGCGCAAGTAGGGCGCCTACCAGGGCCGGTGCAAAACAAAGCACATCGCGTGCCGAGACCTGTGTCACGAAGGATTCGAGGACGCGGTCGTCCCAATCAACCGGCGCCAAGTCCAATTCCTGGCCATTGGGCGCGCTTCTCGAGTGTCGCGTAGTGCATTTCCTTTGGGCCTGGATGGGGCAGCCCCGTGCAATGTCGTTGGGGTCGATTGCCTGACGAAGCTCCAAGATCGGAGCATCTGAGGCTGAGGCTTAGGCGGCGGCATCGGTCTGGTGGCACAGCTGCGCCCCCAATCCTAAGACTGCGTTCAAAGTGACATCCTCAAAATGACCCAATGGGTGGTTTCAAGGGAAGACGCTTGAAAGAGATTTTCCAATTTTAGGCTGCGGCGCTGCAGCTGCGGACAGCACCTCGGGCCGTGGAGAGTCGCTTTGTGTTGTGCCTGACGCAAGGCTCTGGCGCTGCGATGGTCCTTGTGCCACCCCAAATTCGCACCGCCACTGCGCCTTAGGCGTGCGAGTGTGAAGGGCGCGACTCATTCACCCTGCCCGGCCAAGGTCCAAGGTGAGTAAACGCCGGCCCAGCCAAGCCAACGTCCTCACCTGGCAAAACAAACTGGCGCAAACGTGGCATATCTCGATCTGCCTCAAAGGTCGTTCGCTCGGAAGGCACTTCCTGGCGAAAGCTGATGACCTGGGTTCACAGGGCTAACAGGCCACCCCTGTCGGGCCCTTTCTCCAAAGCCGCCGGCGATGTGCTGCAGCCGTGGGCAGTACTTTGCGAGGCCTCGGCGCTCAGATCTTGATGCAGTGGCCAACCCACGTGGTTCCTCAACGCCCTCCAGATGACTTAACATGGGTCCACACTATCTAAAAAACTGTTGCCTCTGCAAGTGAATATTTGTTGAGCTGTTCTACGTTAATCCGCAACTGGTTGAACGTGCCCGTATTTGCTTCAAGCCCCCCGCGGTCAAGCACGCGCTGCGGGTCCGGGAAGTTGCCACCAAAGGAGGAAGCATCGACCTTCGTATCTGTTAGCATTGGTTCTTTTGTGCGGTGAAACCGTCTCATTTCCTGAGATAGATCAACACCAGTTTCTATAACCCATCATAGGGTGTCAACCACAAAAGTGATCCGGATTCCCACTGCATGGGGGGGGCTATTGCCACCCTCCCAAGTAATAAATCCAACAAACACCCTTCCCAGCGCTTCCTCCAAGAACTCCAGAAACCGCATCCCACAGACCAGGCGGAGCAGTTGCCTCAGTTTGACGTGCTATGTCCCCTTGCGCGCTCCGCAATCTGTGGAGCTGACTTCTCCCCGAAATGCGGCGTCTCGAAAACAGCGAGGTGACGAACCTCGGCTGCCAAGCCTGTCATCCACATGCTGAAGCTGGCCCATTCTTTTTCCACCTCTCAACTTGCTTTTCGGCTTTACCTCCTGACTCACGGGTCCAGAAATGTGGGTCCAAAACAGGGCCAGCGGATTTCCTCACGGCCATCGGGCCCCGGCATTCCTGCAGTGTTGCCCTACGAAGCGGAGGCAGTCGCTTTGCCAGCGATTGGGAATGCGCACCTGGCGTGACACTTGCACCGAGTTGCAACCAGTGACCCTGGCCTGAGCCTGGCAATCCTTTGGGGGACCAGTGGGGAACCCACCAGAAAGGGGAAAAGAGTGTCACGAAACAGCTGGGTAGATGCGACTCGTCGTTGTGAATTTCTGGAAGGGTATTCAATTCGACTGTTGGGGTTGGCTTCCCTTGAAAAGGCGAACCTTTCATGTCCAGGTCCTTCCTGGCAATACTGCTTCAGATCTCTGGTTCGGTCCCCGTGATGGATGTAGAGCCCCATTTTCTTTGCATGCAACAAGCCATCTTTAGTAGATTCGAATGTGGGACCATGTGGATGGGTATGTGCTCAATTGGGTTCAGTCCTGCAATGCGGTGAGGTGGGTAATTCGCACGGAATGAGGAATTAAAACCAAAACCAATTGATGACTTGTTAAATGGGGCTTCTCCCAGGTGGGCGAGCAATCCAACGGGACGTTGCGGGAGGCGATTTGGTTGGATGGTTGGTCGCTTGCTTGCTAATTTGTTTCTTGGTGGCTGGTTGCTTGTTCTTTGGTCTGGCACGGTGTTTCTTTGCCTGTTTGTTTGTTTGCTTGATTGGTTGGTTGGGTGGGTGTTGGAGCTGTTGGGAGCGGATTTCCCGTCGCCTCCCCTTAGTTCCTTGGGGAGCTGAAAACAGGCCCCTTACAGGCAGACCATGTGAGAAACAGGCAATCTTACTCATCGGTCTGTCAACTTCTTGTCCTGCCCAAAGTTTGGATAGGATTGTGCAAGGCCTGGTTGGGCGGACGTCCCATGCTTGCCAGATTTTCTGGAATGTTTGAGTTGCTTTTGCTTCTTTGCTTGGGGGGTTCCTCCCTGTTAAAGTCAGTTGGTGCTATCCTCCAGTCTCCAGTCCACAAGGGTTTAGACGATATGAGAACAACCAAATCGTTCCCTCGTCAACGCAAGGATCACCTTCTCAGACCTTCAACAAGTTTACATAGAAATCGGGGTGGGCAAACCTTCCGTTTTGAACAGCCCAGCTATCCTGTTTCTTTGTTGAGATCGAGCCCTGCTTACGCTCCTGGACTTGTTTTGCCAGTTCATTTGTGTCATCGTTGCATCCGGAAAGTTCAAGAAAGCACAACAAAGAGGGGATCCGAGTCGGAAGGCCTGGGAGCTTCCATGTTAGTCGGAGTGTAAGCCTCAACAGAACCACCGCCCTTGCAACTCGGACCTCGGAACTCCGGGCCGCCACGCCCAGCTCAGGGTGGCCTGCTGCTGCGGCTGCGCCGCCCAGCGCTCGAAGGCGTTGGCGGTCAACACGTGGCACGCGCCTGGCGGCCCAACATCCGAGCCAAGACATCGGTGTCAAAGTCACTTTGGGGATTTGGTGTCTGAAATCACACTTTGGTGTGTGTCACGGGGTGCTGCTCCAAAACGCTACCCAGCATCCTGCTAAATCAGAAAGCACGTGCCAGAATCCTATGCATTTCCCTACCTGTACTCCAAAACAATCCGACCCCCTCCGACATCACATCCAAAAAACAGTCTCACACCTGACGATTATATAACAACACATCCAAAAGCCTAAGAAGCGAAGCTGGGAATCAAACAAGCTACCAGTAAAACCATCCACATGCCCAAACCTGCCCACACGGCAGGTCTACATGCTGTTCAACCATTAAACTTAACAAATCCGGAAACCTGCCCCAAATCTAATCCAAAGACAAATCGAAAAAACTAATTCATTCTCCGAAAACAACTCATCCAATCATACATGCAACATGGTTTGCAGCAATCAATCAACCACAATCACCCAGTATCCCAGCACGTATCGATCATACTGTTGAACGAAATCACGCACGCGTCAATTTGGCATCTTATTTGAACACCAATCCAAGGCCATATCGCAACATGCCACCCATTCAACAGGAAACCAACCAGGAGTTCGAACAGCCATCCCTACTTCCACCAGCCCATGCAACCAATCTAAAACCTGGCAAAAGATATGTCCAAGCACTTTAGCAAACCGCAAACAACATCTGCAAAAACTTGCCAACATTCGATCCCGAATACTATCCAGCAGCCAGCCCGATGAACAACACACTGCCCGTGAACCGACCAAACACACACACACACATCAACACACCTATGCAAACACATGTCAACATACCGGTTCGACAATTGATGCACAATCCGTTGTAGCGACTAATTCAAAGTAACACTCCTAACTCCTAAAAACCAAGTAAATGCTTCGTTGAAGAATCACTTCTATCCAACGAGCCATCCGACAAACAATCCAACACCTTTGCTGAACACTCATCCAAAATGATTCCAACATGCTAACCACTTCTAAAATGTGTGCCAGGATCAGAAACAACAAGTCAATCCAAGAAAGTATCCGCAAAACTATTCAAACACAAATTCAATCATCCATTGACACATACTTTCACACACCTATGCAATCACATTTCTGAACCAATGCAAAACCGATCCAGCATCAAGCAACAAAGCAAAGTTATCTCCCACATATCCATGTAAACAAGTATCCAGCTACAGATTCAAGAGCCAACCCAAAGACCCGACAATCCAACCAAGTATCCCATCCAGGTAAACAACCCATCCGAACACCTGTCCAAACACATACCCAACACCTTATCCAAACCTTTGCTAAACCGTATCCAACATCCTATCCAGCAACCGGTCCAACAACATTTACCCGAATCTGCCAATCCTACGCACCCGTCCAAAAGCCATTCCAACCTCATGACGAACAAAACTCCTGGTTGATGGAAGGGACCATTTCTTCAAATTTTGAGGAAGCACCCCTCCGCAAATCTGAGGTCGGCTTGGGGCAGGGGGAAGGACAACAAGACTCACAAGACAGCTGGCTCGGGCCATCCCGGGATAGCACGTGTCAGGCTTGCGGAAGGCACACATTGGCGCCCACGGGAGCATGGAGAACCTGATGGGCGGAACTGGCCTTTGCTGGGCAACCAAAAAAAACACGCTTTTGCTATGAAAATGAACTTCCAGAACAGGAACAGGTACCAAGCCAAAACAATTGCCCTTTGTCTGGCCATCTCCCTTGGCTCGTTGTGTCACTGGGCGCCCAACACATTGACAGCAATGAAGAGCTCGGAATCTGCGACGTCCGTCCAGCACAGCGCCGCCTAGGGCTCATGGAAGGCTCCGTTGAGGACATGGCATGGGAACTGGCGGTCTTCAGGTGGTTGGTTTCCTTTGGCTTCCTTTCAGCCTGCCTTTAAGCCTGTCCAAAAAAGGGACCCCTGTTTTGAGACACACCCGGTCCTCCAAGAAAACACTCCCACCCATATTCATACTCTACACGATCTGCTGCAAAAAATGCGGTGGATTGACAAAATGCAGCGCACCCATTAGGTTTTGTGCCTTGCCCCTGCCAAGGGATTCATCCATCCCAACTGTTGCCAAGAGGGTTTTGTTCGTCAGTACCGAACCCAAACAGCCCCCAAAGCGCCAGTACGAACCCCAAAGAAGCTAGGAAAGCAACAGTGCTAAGGTGATTCCTCTGACAAAATGTCGGTTTTTCGGTCCCATCTGATTTGTTGGACAGCACTTGCCTGGACGATCTCCTCCCAAACATTGGAGCTTCCACGGGCATCCTGCCAGGGCAAAGTGGCATTGCTGGGTGTTGCGTTGGAAACTGCATGCCGTTGGCAAATGGCAGCCAAGCTAAGAGCAGTGCCATCTATTCTCACCCAAACTGACCTAGGGAACCGATGAGAACCCCATGCAGGCAGGCTGGACAGCCGCTCCGCCATTTTTCCTGGCCTTCAACGGATCAGAGTGAAACATTTCGGGTTCCCACTGTGAGGCTTGGGAACTTTCCTTCGAAACAGAACTCATTGGGAAGCCCCATCACCGTTTTCGCCAACTGCCTGCAGCAAAGCTGGCTCTCAATGGTAACAACACATTGACAAACGATCATATCAGATCTTAATGTTGAATATCTCAAGCGCCGGGCCTCTGTACATGTTGAGAATCTTACAGACCTTTTCCGCGACTCTCAGCTCCGAATTTCTATCTCAGCGTTTTTGCCCCCTAAAAAAAATTAGATCCTGGCCTTTTCAAGAGTTTAGGCGTAGGGGGGGATGTGTCCGTAGGGCCGGTCACAGCAGGATCCCCAGCTCTGAGGCCAAGCCAAAGGCGAGCTGCGCGCAGTCCGCGGCGTCTCTGGGGCCCTCCGCCTCCAAAACGTCCACCAAGGTCTCGGCCAAGGTGCGGCAGCCTCGGAGATAAGACGCGGACGCGCCGGATGGGCCGAACAAATCAACTAGTCCAATCAATCTAACCAACTCAATCGATCCATCGAACAATGTAACAGATCAAGCAATCAAACAGATCTATCAGCCTGACCAACACAACCGCCCAACCATTCAAATGGATAGTTCGATGAACAAGCCAACCAACAATGACACAACTAACGTATGACAGAAGCCGAGGTGGCACCCCCAATAGCAACCAACACAACCCTTTGGGAACTCTGGTGGAACCGAACCACTCTCCCCGCTCTCCATAGACTGGAGCCTTGCCAGGAGCTTTGACTTGTGGACCAAATATGCAAAACACTCACAACACTCACAACACTCACTCAGTCACTCCAACCAACCTACCAAACAATCAAATCAACCAATCAAACCAAGTCAAACCGACCCAAATCAAACCCAACCCAGCGATCATTCAATCAGTCAATCAATCAACTAAAG